CGACATTACGTGACCGCATTATTTAGCAACGGCAATCCAGGCAGGCCCAGTTGCCAGTTTAACCCAAGACGTGTGGGTCGTTAAGTGGGAAGCGAAGGGAGTCCCAGTGAAGGGGTGCCACAGGGGGATGGGAGAGGCCCTGGGGACCCCGGCCCAGGCCATGTGCAAGTCAGGGGAGGAGGCACTTGGTGCAGCATGAGCTCAGAAAGGCCGGGGAATGAGGGCATGGGGTGCGTGTGACTGTAGGGAGGCTGTGGAAAGAGGGTGTGAGATACATGTTGTGCAATCGCAGGGAGGCCATGGAAAGAGGGCACAGGGCCCGTGCATGTGTGTGTGTGTGATTCCAGGGAAGCCATGGAAAGAGGGTGCAGGGTATGTGGAACTGAAAGATGGTTTGGGGTGTATGCTTGTGTGTGAGTGCAGGAAGGCCGAGGAAACAGGGTACAGGGTGTATACGAGCAAAGGGGGGAAGGAGGGTGCGGTAAGTGTGAGCAACGAGAGAATGGTGGGGGGGAGACTTAGTCCAGCAACTTGCGACCTTCCTTGCCAGCTTCCTATTGACTTTGTATGGGGGAAACAGACATGGAAAGTTGCAAATGGCGATCGTGTGATTGTGGGGTGCTTGGCAACCAGTCATAAGTGCAAACAGGTTGCCAAGCACCCAGATCGCAATCATGCGACTGCAGGGGTGCTAGGACAGCCGCAATTTCAAGGATTAGTCATAAGTCTCCTTTTTCAGCACTGTCGTAACTTTGAACTGTCGCTGAATGGTCGCAACTCAAGGACTATCTGTATGGAAGTTCTGATTAATTAACAGAAGTGTGGGCAGGATGAATATTACAGAGATACATAAGAATCACAGATCTAATTCTATACGCGGGAATTAGGAATGTGCATTCATATTCTATTATTCTCTTCTTCAGTTCCAGATGTTTGCTGTGTTTTGTTTTTACTTCTTTTGTTTTCATGTTTCTTTGCAATTTTAAGCCACCCAGAATTAATTCTTGAAGCCAACCAGCATCCCTGTCCTATCCAAAAGATTCTAGATGTAACAAGTCATTCAGGCTTGGCATGGACCTAAATGCAGGGGTGTGGCCCTCTGGTCCCTTCTAGACCTCTCCGTGGCATTTGATATAATCGAACCTATATCCTTCTGGCCCACCTGCAAGGGTTAGGAATTAGACATTGTTTAATGGTGTTCCTACTCTCACCTGAGTTGGTGATGCCAATCACTTATGTTGGAGGAGAAGCACTCAAGCCCTTGGTCATTATGATGTGAGACTCTCCCTTATACTACTTAATATCTACATAAAGCCACTGTGGGAGGTCACCCATCTCTCCATGGTGAAGGATCCCCATTATGCTAATGGAACCAAGGTGTATACTGCCACCCCAGGCCAAGCTGGAGATACCGACCTTATAGGTTGAGAGGATCTGAATGGGACAAAGTAAGTTCAGATTGAATCCCTCCAAGACAGAGCTGCTATTTGTCAATAGACCACAAAGTATCCCAATATCAGTTCTCAGTAGTTATTCTGGATGTAGTTTGCTCCCACTGAAGGAATTGATCTTTAAACAGCAGGAGGTACTGTTGCCACGAAG